ACTGTCATCTTCCTCACTAATGGGTTTACTCCTTTTAAGTAATCTTTTTTCTACTTTTCTTTCACAAGTCTCCTGTTTAAAACCCTCTCCAGTATCTTCCAGACGAGAAGTTGATAAATGACGTATTATCTGAAATGAAAATAAAAAATCACAGCCATTCAACAAATCAAAGATACACGGTTCATAAACAATAAGTATTTTTTACAAGAGTTACTTTTAAAGCACTAAAAAATCCTTTCCTGAATTAACAGAAAATGATTTCAAAGTGACTATTTTGTAATGAGTGACTGAAGTTGACCCAAGGTCATCCTAAATATTGGTTAAAGTTATTGGTTACTAGTTCCTTTAAAAAAGACTGAAGTGTTAAATGATGAGTATTACCAGAACAAACATCTTCATGACTAATTTTTCAAAATGCTGATAAATTAATTTTTCCACACTAACTTTCTTTCTTGGAACTTCGTTGGAAACACTATCATCGTCCTCACTATCACTAAAGGTTTTACTCCTTTTTAATGATCTTTTCTCTATTTCCATTTCATAAATCTCCTCTTTGAAACTTTCTCGAGCGTCTTCCAAACGAGACGCTGATAAATGACGCATCATCTGAAATGAAAATAAAAATTGACTGCAATCCAACAAGTCAAAGATACAGGATTCCTTAACAATAAATACCCTCAAGAGAATCAATTTAAAAGCCGCAAAATTCTTTTCTGTATTAACGAAAAAGATTTTTTCACTGCTTTAAAACTAACTCTTTCAAAATTCAAGAAGAAGGAGAATTACAGAAAAGCCAAGTTTCTCACTATCGGCACGAATAATTCAATAAAAAAGAGCTATAAATGGATATGCAACCTTGCTGCTGCTTTCCATGCTGCATGAGATCAGCTTTGAGACCTTAGATGAATCTGAAAATGAAATGAATTAAACTACATGACAACATCAAAAACTGCTAAGTGTCAGTGATTAAAAATTTTTTCACATATTTTTTGTACGGATTTATTTTTGTACGAAATGATTTGTTTAATAACAACAAATGACAAAAGTTAGTCAGTGAATAGTAATTAGTATGTCGCTAAATTTACATAGACTCAGGCTCATTTTTATGCTTCTAACAAAAGATAAAATAACGGAAGTAAATCTGATATGGAAATAAAAACTCGAATCCTGCCCTGTAAACACTAACATGCTGCATCAACTTAGATTAGCTAGCTTCCAACAAAATTTACATTTGAGAAGTGTTTGATCAACTATTTACAAACCATTTCACGTCCTTCTGAATCAACGTTTTCTACTGCAAGTTATAGAGACGGTATGATAATGGTTTATCCTAGCAAATAAAGTGCGAAAAGGAGATTCAAACAGTGTGTTCAGAGATTTCGAGGGAATTGGGATTAATTGTTGTAAGGTGGAAGCATTTTTTTGAAATTTGGAATTTAAGTCATAAAAAAGTTATTTTATGATTTTTGATAGTAGCAGAGATCAATTTTAAGTTTTTTATTTGGATAATTTTCCTCGCGAATTATCTTTCCCATAATTTTCGTTGAGTTCAAGTATTCCTGTGATGGTAATAAATGCATTAACTCATAACATATGGATTTTGCTGAATTATTCATTACTGTTTTAGGTAATAAATAAACTTCTAGCATTGCTAATATTTTTTCTTTATTTTTCATCCAAAAACTTCCAGTACTTTCATAGCATAATATTTCTTGTGTGCTAATACAATATGTGAATATTTCTGCTTTATGCAATTTAATGCGCAAAAATCTTCACTGTCTTGTATATTATTTTCTCTTAAAAAGAATGGAGAGAAAAAATCGAATTTTCAATATTTAAAATAGTTTGCTGAAGCATTCAAATTTTCTAATTTTTATGGCATATAATGTACTGCACTGAAGATATTTGTCATTTTTCCTGTTTACGATTTTGATCTACTGTTAATTTCATTTTTAAAAATGAAGAAATTTCAAAAGTTATTTTAGAAATGTCAAAGAATGCTGATCGAACAGAAATCGTTTCGAAAACTGAACAACAACTGCAGAAAAAACAAAATTTCCCGATTTTAAACAATTTCTTACCAGTTTTGGATTCACTGTCACCAATTGGAAAGATAAAATCTGTGGGACCTGGGCCACTTACATCAACCCCTGCTGCAAAAAGTGGCGTTTGTTCAAATCAGATACGTGATATGAAGTGTACTGCAAAGTTATCAGAAATTTGTGAGGCTAGTTTCTTGAATTTTTGTTTATATGAAAGATTCAAACAGCCATGTGGATAATTTTTTTTGGTATATTATATTAGATGAAAATTAAAAGATATACCATGAGATTTTGTGGCATACGAATATATTTCTTCGGAATACAGATTTCTCGAAATTGTGAAAAATGTTCCTTGATCAAAAACTCGTTTTTTGTCTTCGACTTGTTTTTGAGAGAAACATATTTTTGATCATGATTCTTATTTTGTAAAATAATTAATGAAGTATTGAACAATTTCATCATTAAAATTTTTTAAGGAAATAGCATTACCTCCAAAGAAGCAGGAATCTCAAAGTACAGTTTCATTGGATTCTGATTGTGAAGTGAGCAAACACTGGGGTACATCTGGTATTCTTTTCTTTCAGAAAATTTTCGTCTTAAGTATCTGCGTAAAATATCCTTTTTAATTGCATTCGATTTTAAATTTTTACGAAAGTATAAATTTGTGATTCCTTCCAGGTTGTGCTGCAAATCCACGAGTGGACCGAAGTCGTAGTGTGCTTAGTATTGTAGGTTCGTCATTTTCCAAGTATTTTGCAATGTTTGTTGATGAAGATGAATTTATCTTTGTTAAAACAACTTAATTGTTATGTTTTCGAGTGCCACGTTTCTTGTATTTACTTCACATTTTCACTGTTTCACGTGAAATTAAAATTGACGTACTTTTAATATGGCTTCTAAAGGCCAAATCTTATTAAATATTTAATGTAATTCAAGCATATTTTGGAAGCTGAATAAGTTAGATTAAACAATATATATGCATATATGTCTAAAGAAATGCAAAATTTTCAGCTTCGCCTGTTGATTATCAAGGAAAAAGTGTTGAACATGTTGTTCGTTCAAAACATTTTCATGAGGTAATACTTAACATTTTATATTTTGAAGTGAAATTTGTATTATACGACATATTAATTTCTGAGAATTAATATACACTTTATTCAATCTCTCCGTACAAGAAAAATATATATAGAGAGGCTAGTCTTCTTTTATACTTATTGATTCTGACGTTGGATCCTATTCGGCACTTTGGTTGTATTTGTCCGCTGTGCAGATTTGTTGTGCTAATCTCTTTTGCTTCATCCTCGTAACGTTTACATAAGTTGTTCACACTTATCTTCTTTTCTATGCTTGCCTTCCACATCGGTGGCTTCTTTTCACGCCTTCTTATCTCTTCATAACATTGTTGTGCCATCTGGAACTGCCTTGCAAGATCAGTCATTGACTTCAGGGAACTCTGCATGGCATATCCACCACCGCTTGGCTTACCGCTCCGAGTATAAGCGGGTCAACTTTCTCCGAGATTATTTTCCCCATCCACTGTGTCTGGTTTATCTCACGTCCTTGGGCTTCTTGCATTAATACAAGGTACTTCGTCTAAATAAACCTTAGACTCATTTAGTTATTTTTCTCGAAGTAGGTGTCAAGTATCTTAACACGCTTTGTTGTTTCCTCTGAGAACCGTTCCCGCGAAAACGGATGACTTGCAATATAGGTGACTGTTCCATCAGTTCTTGAAGTTCAATGGGCACACTAACTTCTCGCAATACAGAGAACGACAAAAGGACCATCTCCTTCTCGGCATCCTCCCCAATGGGTCAAGAACAGTCTTCAGCACTTTACCAGGCCAGCTGCTTCGCGAAAACTTGATTTCTCAAATGATAACTTCAAACGTAATCATCTTGCTGGTTCCGGTAAACTGGCAGAGTGCTCTATTTACATCTTTCACGGAGCTTTTCACAACCTTATCTGTTTTCTAATTGTTTTCTACTATAATTCCAGAAGCGTTTTTTCTCCGTTCATCCTCTATTTTCTTCTCGTACTTCTGATATCATACTGTACAACCACACAGCATTCTTTTTTTAGTTTCGAACTCTTTTTACAACACTCCTTTTTCCTGCTTCCGTGTCATTCTTCTTCAGCTTTTTCCCTTGTCTCGTCTTTGTTTGTTCCTTCGAAAGTATCGCAACAAGGAGTTGCATGAGCATTGTCGTTATGGTCTGTTACTTGTTCTCGCTTCTTGGAAGTCGCCTATGATGTAGAAAGTTCTTCAGAAATTAGTAACTGACTGGCTGCTGGGATGTTCTTTCGTATTACTATCATTTCCAGTATTCTGGTGTCGTTGACTGTCGACACCATTTGCGTTTGTTGTTGCAACTGATCGCACTGCTATTTCTGCCGTTTTCTTATGTACTTTCATAGTCGCATCATTCATAACATTGCCATAACAGATAGAAGTGGAACAAAGAAGAGAATAGAGACCATATATTACAAAAAAAATAGTGTGTTTCTTCCAAGATCAGGCACAGTCTATTGTCCACGACTATCTTAAACTTGGCTAGTATAATCTATATATGTGGGAATATTTATATTCGCATAATTGAAAGAACGCATGATAATTTTTCGATTATATTTTATCAGCCTATTATTACAAAGCTTTGAGAAAATGAGCATTAAATATGTGTTAAAATGGTTTCACTTTCAAATGTATTAGTTTTCATTCATAGAAGAAAAGAATTGCATGGGGTTTTGGTATTCCAAGCTCGAACGTGATTAAACCTATATATGGAAAGGTCGATGACGTTTCGCCTACAGCATTGCAGTCTAGTAAATCGCATAACAATGTTGAGGTAATTTCGTTGATTAATTCTTCTAGAGGTATAGCCCATCATAAAAACAAAAGCCTAATACTAAACGAATTCCTATCCATCACATCGCACAGTTAAAGTGTTATAAATGTGTCGTGAACATTTGAATATTTCAAATACATGACTTTTTTAATGCATATTTCTACTACATAGGGAAGTATTTGTATAATATACCTGAAATGTCAAGACGCAATCATTGTATTTTTGCATAAATACAAATATTTTTTTTAATACTTTTTTTTATATTTGAGATTTTAAGAAGTGCGTACAAAACGCACTTATTTATTGGAAGATACAAGTCGTTTTATTTTGTCAAATTACTATTAGCCTACAGTGTGTTTGCACAAATGAGTTTGCGTTTTCAGTTTGATGATTTTACTTCATTTTGTTTTATTTTTCTTCATTCAGTTTATGGTGATATTATGGCATTTGAAAGTGTTTCAATATTTTGAGCAAAATAGAAATCTGTATTGATTACCATGAATGTGATCAAGATAAGAAAGATTTGCAGGCAAGTAGTTCCAGTTCCAATGATATATTTACCACAGGGGACGGGTCTAGTGTCAGAGATGGCAGTGAAGTTATGGTGAAAAACAGTCATGGAAAAACTAGGTATATTGAAGAAATTCTTCGTATTAAGATGAAAATATATTCATTTTCTGGTTTGAAAATTTTTGTAAAAGTTTTTTTTTGAGAAGTAGGAAAGATTTTGGATGAAATTTATTGAAACCTAAAGAATTAAAAAACCAACAATTTTGATTTTGATCATTCCTAATGTTTCCTTTCGTAACCCTTTTTATAGCCCGCGACGTAGTATCTCAAATTTTTCTTCGCTTTTATCCGAAAAAGCTAGCACATCTGCGACACCAATTTCATCTCAGAGAGTCAGTGATATCACCAAATCAAATAGCTCCAACCAAGACCTTATCACAATAAGCTCTACCAATTCAGCTATTGAAATAACTGATAATAGTGATGTTTGTATTCCTGCGTAATTAAATCTGAGAAATTATTATGTGTATTGCAATTTTTGGATAAGAATATGACCTGGAATGAATAATTCTTGGAAGTTATTTGAATTTTTCATGTAGGCATATATGGTAAGTTTTGCTTCATTAGTCGGTGCAGAAAATTTTTGCAGATTGATAAACAGTTAGCCGCACTATCATTCCATGATGAAGAAAAAATGGTTGATCATCATTCTTTTCGTCGTCCTTCAAACAGGAACACTGAAAAAATCGTTCGTTACCATGAATATATTACAGTATTAAAGCATAGTAGCAGTGCTACTGAAAAGCAGAAACTTTAATTTCGCAAATAGAACTTGAATCTGTGTCTTTTTATGAGGCTTTGAAGTCAATAAAAACGCCTAAAATTTTCTGATTGAAAGTTGTGAGAGGTCATATACGTTTTCGAAACTGCAAATAAAGGATGAAAACTAGTATAGTAATGAAGTTTGCGAATGGTTTAGTAGTAATATTGTAGTCAACCAAATTATAGATGTGATAAAATATTACAGGCTCCTGATTATTCCTCGAAAGCAGAATTCAAGGTGCAGTTGACAAGCTTGAAGGTGGATTAAAAAATGTGTCTTCAAATTTTTGACTTTTTCACAGATTTTGATGTTTATCATTGGTAATAATTTTTCGCATTTGTCGTTATTGTCTTTATTATAAAAGCAAATTTTTTCAGGGTCTTATGAGAAATACGGAATTGTCAAAGTTACCTGACGGTGGACAACGTTTACTGCAGAAAATTAAAGAGTTAGAAAAAAAGTTAAACGACCACAGTATTCGTACTAGTGATGAAAATCTCGCTTCTTATGGTTTGATCTAACATTATTCAGTGCATTTCGGTAGAAAACTACAGTGTTTCGAATGTTAATGATACAAATGGGATTTCGGGTTCAGGGCGTTTTCGTTTTAAGAAAAGAAATTTTCGGTTTTAAGTCAAGTTTTCTGCAATGACTGTTAGTGTTACCTTATTGCAGTCATTTATTCTCACTGATAGTTATTCTTGTGGACAGTTTCATCACAGTAGAACTTTGCAAGCTTGTACCAAATACTTGCAGTGATGAACAACGAAAAAATGTGGTTGTGTATTACTTCTACATATATTATAGGATTTTTTTATAGAAACAATCAAGAAAAATGAGGCTAACATTATTCCAATACAAAAAGGACCTTTATTGGTTTCTCCTCAAATTCCTAGAGGTTAGTTTCGTAATATTAGATAGAATGTGAGGTGAATATTGTTCTTAATTTGTGTGTGTCAGAAATGTAAAAGTTGGATTTACGTATTATTCAGTAATAATTTTTTAAATACAGGATATCGATTATTTGGAGGTAAAATGACCGACGACAGATTTTTCTTAGCAAATGCAGTTACTGGACAAGTCATTGCGAGGATGCACAAGTAAATTCTGAGCTAATAAAATCACAATTTGTCTTTTGATTTTGATTCCTTATGAAGTTTTCAGTTCACTTTCAAATATTCCTGAAAATGTGAAAACTGATACACCTACTGGTGTGCAGACTGAACTCATGCCTCATCAAAAAGAAGGCCTCACTTGGTTACTGTGGCGCGAAAACCAGCTGCCACCCGGTGGTATACTAGGTATTTATGTTGTATGTAATTTCTGAATTGAAATGAGTCCGAACTTCATAAGCTTTGATAACTTATTGTCGTTTACAAATATCAAGTTGGAAACTTGTTTTATATTTTTAATTATAGTTATTTAATTCTTCTATTGCCCTGAAAATGTTGGGTTTCACAAAATTACGATAAGCATTTTTATGAAGTTTTTGGAATTTCTATCCAATTTCAGCTGATGATATGGGCTTAGGTAAGACGTTAAGCATGATTTCGCTTATTGTGCATGCAAAAGAAAGACATGAGCAAGATGCAGAACAGATTGAAAAAGTGCAAAAAAAAAACATGCGAGGTGTTTTTCGAATTCATTAAACATTCTTTCTAGTTTATGGTATATGGCGCAAATTTGTGCTCGATTTGCATTGCCACTCTGTTTCATGAGCTTAATTATTTATTATAGTCAATATGATATGGACAAAAGAAAAAACTGAATTGTGTCTTAGTCTATAATTTTTGGAGTATTTTCAGATAGAAGTTTAATTCCGTCGAAGAGCACATTAGTCATTGCTCCAGCCTCGGTAATTTTTCAGTGGGAGCAGGAGTTCAAGAAACATGTAAAAAAGAATGTGCTCTCCTGTTATGTATTTCATGGACCTAAACAAAAGCGTATAATTGATCCCATGAGGTGATTTTTCAAGCAGTTATCGGGTTTTTAAATTTATTGAGTCAAATATAAGTTAATTTTTCAGTCTTGCTGTTTATGATGTCGTAATTACAACTTACGGAATTGTGAGTAGTGAGTTAGCCGAAAAGTTCACGATATCTAATGATGGCCAAAGTAATGAAAGTAATGGTTCTGAAGAAGAAAAAGTTACAAATAGAAAGGTTTATTTGGGTTTTAGAAACATCCTTATCTTCGATTATATACTTTGTTGTTAAGATGCAAGTTTTCCTGCAAAACTAAATGCTCTAATAAATTTTTAAATACTTCAAAAAGTAAATGGGATGCTCATTCTAGATTTCAAGGAAATCGAATTCTGCTCTCTTGAAAATATTTTGGGAGCGTATCATTCTAGATGAAGCTCATCAGATAAAGAATAGAGCTTCTCGAGTTTCTAAAGCATGTTGCAAAATTCCTGCTAGAGCACGCTGGTGTCTTACGGGCACCCCAATTCATAATAATTTGTGGGATTTATATTCCTTAATAAGGTGAAGTTACGTATTAATTAAGCTTCCTTGTCATAATTTACTATTACTCAATTTATTGTTTTGCTGTAAATTATTGTTACTTTTAATCTAACACTTAATTGCAATGCAATGCAGGTTTCTTCGTGTAACACCATTTGATGAAGAAGCTGTCTGGAAGGAATACATCTTGTCAACGAGTATGTTTTATAATCTAAAATGCTTCTGTTCTTAGTTTGCATTATTGTTCAAGAAAAGTATAGAATTATTTTTTACAGATTCATCGTCTCAGAGGTTAAATACATTGGTCAAAGGTTTACTCTTACGGCGAGAAAAAAATCAATTGCGTGCTGAAACCAATGAACCAATTGTTTCTTTAATTGGATCTTTTTTTTAAATAACGTTCTTTATCTTTGGCGAAAAAAATTTAGATCAGAAAATTCTAGGAATACATGAATAACAAAGATAAAACAGTTTGTTTGTTAAAGCAGCTTAGTTTCTTGATGTCAGCGAGTGTCGTACGAGGTCATATGTATATTAAAGTGTTTGAATACAAAACAGCGCATATAAATATATTAGATATATGAAAACATAAAAATGAGATGCATTTGGAATAAGAATTTGGGTTTCTGTAATATTTTTTAATTCACTACTTATTCATTAGTATGTTAAGTTGTCTGTGTTTTAATATATTTTTCTAGGTTAATCTGATGCCAAAAATCTGTGAAACAATTGAACTTAAGCTTGAAGGTTTCGAAAAAAAGGTCTACGATTATATGTTCCAAGCTTCAAGGTTAGCATTTAGTTAAATTTCTGCTCTCACGTGAGCAGGAAGAATTTAATAAATAATCAGTAGATTATTATTTTATAATACATAAAATCTGAAAAGAATTCTAGACAACAAGTCAAAGAATTAATTAAGTCACGAGAAGACAAAGAAGAAGCATTATATGGTATCAAGCATAATGAACAGTTATCTACCAATACAAAAAAATTGAGAAATCCGTTCTTGGGTTCGTGAAATTTAAGATTTCATTTGTCAAAACAGTATTTCTTTATGTTTGTATTTGATCATGGAGTTTTTAACGTTGCCAGGGTTCAGCATTTCACAAAAAATCCTGACTCTCACCAAGTTCGAAAATTTTTTTTGGTCTTATTTTTTCAGTTTAATGATGTTTCAGGCGGTTCAAAAACAATTGGTACTACTCATAATTTTCAAACGATGACATGTGTTTTGACGCTGCTGATGCGTTTACGACAAGCCTGTGTACATTTTGCACTAATTAACCAGGTATTCTTATGTTATCACTAAACACAGACAACTGTCAGTACATAACTGACGGTTTTATATAAATAAATTATTCATTTATAATAATATGATTAAAGGCAGTTGATATGGAAGCATTAGAGACGTTGGGTGTTGATGAGGATGAAAATGACGAAATGCTATCGAAATGTTTCTCAAATATGTCATTTTTGGATGAGAAAGCCATTACTATGGATCCATTTGTTGAACAAGGGAATAACCAGCTACAAAGACTTTTTGAAAAAACATTTCTATCGACTAAGGTGATTTATTTGGAAAATTTTAATGTTTTGAAATTATAACAGTGTTTAAAGTTAATAACTCTATATGGTTTCAATGTTATATTCATACATATATCACTTTATTTATCATGCTCCCAGATTCTGTTTCGTGGTCATTTTTCATCCTTCTGCATTATTAGTTTTTTTTCATGTCTCTTAACACCTAGAACAGAGTAGAAAGCGATTATACAAATTTTAGATCAAAAAATTGCTTGAACATTTGGACTATGCTCTTTCTTCTGGCGATAAATGGTGATTTTTTCCGCTCAACAAAGTTTTGATCCGATCTACAAGCACTGATCTTGTTTTCTATTTAATTCTATACTTACAAAGAAGATGTTCTGCTTCACGTGAAATCTTTGTTTGTAATTTGATCAATAACCGTCAGTTTTCTTCCACGAAGTGTTTTTGTACTTCATTTTTTTAAGCGTTGTTGTAAGTCAATGGACCAGCCTTCTTAGCATCATTGAGTATCATTTGGAACGAAAATGTATTTCATACACTTCTATCACAGGAAAAGTTTTGGTTAATGACAGGTATTTTTCCCTCACTTCTAGTTTTTTTTTTGTTATACTAGAAACGGTATAAATAAGTGATAGACTAGAATTTTAATAAAACGCTACAAGCGAAGCAAAATTGTTAAAAATAAAATTTTCTAAGCATTCAATATTTTGTCCTTAAAGCTGCAAATATTGCTATTTTTGCATCGAAATTTGCTGCTCCTTCTTTTTTAACATGAATTCGAAACTTTAGGCAAATTAGAGCTGACAGTTTCAATACAGCTAGTAGAGGACCTCAGGTAATGTTATTGTCGCTGACAGCTGGTGGAGTGGGTTTGAATTTAGTGGGTGGTAATCACTTGTTTCTTATTGACTTACACTGGAATCCAGCTCTTGAACAGCAAGCATCTGATCGTATTCATCGTATGGGACAACTGAAAAATGTCTATATACATAAGTCTGAATTTTTTCAATATTCTTTAATGCATTGAAATATTTGTATTTTTTGGTTCATCAATACTTAACTTTCCTTATTTTTGTTTCCTTGCAGAATCATTCAAGATTTTTCTCGGAATGCGAATGAAAATTGAGCACTTAAATTCCAACTTTTAACAAATTACTTGATCACTTTGTAATATGATTCTGGAAGAATTATTTTCAGATTTGTGTGCCTTGATACAATTGAAGAGCGTGTTTTGGCATTACAGCAAGTGAAACAAACGTTGGCCAAAAGTGTTTTAGAAGGGTATGCTTTTCATGTAATGAACTAAAGCTCTTTATTTCATTCGGATAACGTGAACCTTAAAAATTTTTGTAATTGATTGTGGTTTTTGGGATGGGCTCAAATATTGAACCCTTCATTTTCCGAAAGTTTCTCGCACTCAGCGTAGCATTTCATTACTTTTAGCGTACGATGAGCACACCTTTCGTTTTATGGAAATTGATTTTTGCTCCTTGCTTTCTACTGTTTCGATGCAGCTTTTTTAAAAATACAAATTTTTAGAGCTGCATCAAAAAAGCTGAACAATTTGACAGTCGCTGACCTTAAGTATTTATTTGATTTGGGTCGTCAACCAAATGAGTGGGCTGCTGTTCCCAGTAGTACTGAACCACCGAAAATCGTCGTTGCTTCAGCTACTTCTAGTGCTATGAAAGAATCTTGATTAATTAAGCATAGGAAGTGTTAAAAAAAAACTCAACTATCTCTTCAGCATTAGGTGTATAAGTTGATAGTACTACATGTTAGTCTTTTAGTTTTTTCTCTCATTTTATTGAATTTAAGTCTTAACATGGAAAATCCACTATCTCTGGACATATGTGCTGTTATTTGAAATTTCTCATTTTCAGTCAACAATCATGCATCTAAATAAGAAGTAAAAGCCTTTCGCTTGTTTGACTATATCATGTAAATCACTGCAGATATGTCTTCGGAAAATGATAGTTTGCTTCTTATTTGATAGATTTCTACGATTTTGGACCCTTTCAGTTTGGTATTTGTACCAAAAATTCGAAAATTAGAATATGCATCAAAATATGGCAGGAGATGCATTTTCTATTTGAAATTCAATGATATGACCAGGCAGGTATGATGCATTATTGTCTTTCGTGTTTTACATGCAAATCATTGTTGGTAACATTCCTTCTTACATTACAAGGTAACACTGACATCAGAAATTTAGAAATTACAACGTGACTTGCTGTTTATACGTTAAGTGCCCCAATTATTAAAGTGGTAATTTTTTAGAAGTTGAAAAGACTTATATTTCATCACGTGTTCACAGTGACAACTTTATCGACATGATTGGCTCTGTATGAGCATGAAAAACTGTATATGTGCAATACGTGTAGTAAGAATTTCATGTAATCTGCACATTAGAAGGAATATAGATTTACACAAAAATAAATCAAACGTGGCATGGTCAATGGTGCTTCGTTACTACACGTAAATCTGAACATAAGCGAGCATAGTAAATTGAAGTAATACTGACATGCATGCTGGGGATAAATTTGCAGTTCGCCTGGAATCTTCAGTCATCAGAACAGAATTTCAATCAATTTTTTTGTTAGTGCGAATATCAACTGACATTTGACACTTGATGTACCTGACAGATTTTGCAGTTATCAAGCAATGATCTGTTTCTCGCAAACCT